ACTTGTTGATTTCTGTCGCCGCGTTTTGAACTGCTTTCCTGCGAGTCGCCATTCGTTTCCAACTCACACTGTCGCATCTACAAAATAAATCCATCTACGCACGCTTTCAGAGAATCTGAAGCATACATCTCCATAATGGCCGCCAATGATTATTATAACTCGCATCCGCAACAATCACATTCTCAATATCAAGCGCACAATCCTTACCAATCGCAAGGTCTTAACACCCATGAGCATACCGATCCCTCACCTGTCTCCTCGATACAACCCCAACCATTCACTTTCGATGGTCCATTCGACGATCATGTTTATCCTATGAAAGGGAATAGTTCGCATATTGCGGACAGCAGTTCTACATTAGGAGCGAATGGGAGATATTATGGAGCAGGTGGACGGCAGGAATCGCAGAATTCGTTTGCGGATGACATACCACTGAGGGATCATCCGCAGGTGCCTTCAAAAGACACCACTACGGATCATGTTTATGATGCACCGACCAGCGCTGCGCAACCACATATATTGGAAGAGGGAAGAAAACGGCGGAGTGGCCTGGGAGGTTTCATGAAGTCGTCGAAGAAGAGAATCCCATGGGTTGTTTACGTTTTTACGCTGGTGCAGAGCATTGTATTTATTGTGGAGATTGTGAAAAATGGTATGTTTGCACAGTCCCTTACTTACGAGATGTACGCTAATCAAAACAACAAGCCCAACTAACGGGCTCGCCGATCGAAATCCATCCCTCCTTCAATCCTATGATTGGGCCTTCCCCATGGGTTTTGATCAATATGGGAGCTAGATACGTACCATGTATGCATAATGTCGATGAGATCCAAGGTAGCACAACTGCCATCAGTTGGGGATGTCCGAATACGACTGACTCAAACGTTGCTGAGTGTTCTCTCAGCGAGCTATGCGGCTTCAATGGGGTGCCAAATCCTAACTGCACAGGTGAAGTGTGCTCGGGAAAAACAGACCAGAAGCCTGAGCCTAATCAATGGTTCCGATTCATTGTGCCCATATTTCTCCATGCTGGGATAATCCATATCGGTTTCAACATGCTCCTACAGCTTACGCTAGGCCGTGAAATGGAAATTGCCATTGGCCCTATCCGCTTCTTCCTTGTGTACATATCTGCTGGAATATTCGGGTTCGTGCTTGGGGGAAATTTTGCAGCGAGTGGAATCGCCTCGACTGGTGCATCCGGGTCTCTGTTCGGGATTCTTGCTCTTACCCTACTCGATCTTCTCTATACATGGGGCGAAAGGCGCAGCCCATGGAAGGACCTGGCATTCATTGCGTTGGACGTCATAATCTCATTTGTTCTCGGCCTGCTTCCCGGCCTTGACAACTTTTCACACATTGGCGGTTTTCTTATGGGGTTGGTACTCGGCATTTGCATTCTTCACTCTCCAAACGCGCTTCGTAAACGGATAGATCAAGACGAGCCTCCATATCATACTGTAAGACCGGGTGTTGCCAACGAGGACGTGACTAGCTTTGCCAAATCTTTTGCAAAGTCCCCTCTTGGATTCTTCAAGGGACGTAAGCCTGCGTGGTGGGCGTGGTGGCTAGTTCGAGCTGTAAGCTTGGTAGTGGTTTTTATCGTCTTCATACTTCTGCTTAACAATTTCTACGTGACGAGGTCGAAGTGTAGTTGGTGTAAATACTTGAGTTGCATTGTAAGTAATTCTTTTCTCTGCATCTTGACAAGTCCATATATATACTAACATGCATAGGATGTAAATGGCTGGTGCGAAATCGGTAATATCAAAATTACAAATCCGGATTCGAAAAACTCAACGAGTACCACGGCTAAGAGAAGTGTCTTTGACACATGGGAAATGATGGCGCAATTATACGATGCCTAATTCAGTAGGACAGGATGGATGTTTTGAGGTGGATGAATGATATGCATAGCGACGGCGTTTATAATGTGACATCCCATATCAGACTGACGACGCAGATATGACCAAGCTTGAGTATCAAACGCCAGCTAGATACCATTCGGTTAAAGTAATTCAGTGTTTTTCAATTGTTCTACTCGTGTCTACACCGTCTATGATAGAACCCTAGTCATCGGAAGATAAGTTTTATTCCTTCCCATCCCCTTTGAATGACCATGACGCTTGACAAACTTACTCAGCTATTATGTCATGAATATATCGACGACCTGGATACTTGGCATCCAATGTACATGTTTCATCTTAGGCTGACATCAGACTGGCATTTGCCAGGCTGATTATCATTAGACAGGGGTCATTTTCAGCCTTCTACGGCTCCACAGCTGCCCAGCCTCGTGTTGAGAACAAAAAAAAAAAGTAGTTCACCGAAATTCACAAAGCTACTTGTATCATAAGCTCTTCCTTTAATGAAACTTCCACGACCAGAAACTTCGATCTTTTAATTATTTAGAATCTTGGTTGTGCTTATATTCATTAGCCTAAATTTCGATAGATTGCAATTCTCTCTATATAATCTACAATTGCACGTAACCATTCGCTCGAGCAAGACCTGCATACACTCTGATCACAACATAATCCGGAGCTCACCATGGGGAAGGAAAAGGGATCAAAAGATGGCTCTTTCAAGAAAGAGAAGAAGCCAAAGCGGATTCGGCCTGAAAAGCCGACTCAGGCTACTCCTATAGTAAAACCTACTCCGTTTGTCAAGCAGCCTGTTCACGCCAAATGGCCTTCGTTGTTCAAGCGCCATTTGGGCCTGATCGAGTCACAAATCCGAGTATATGATCGATTAATGCAAAGTATGCGTGCCGAGATGAACTCAATGCCCGACGAACAAAGAGGCAGATGGGAAAGAGGTGAGGAGGGGCACTGGCAGACTCTGTGCGGCATGATGAGCAGAGGTAGACAGCTTCTAATCGATGCGCGCATAGCTGGAACTGGTATTGTAGGTTGCATATACTTCTATCTAATAACTTTTAAGTAACGCGCATGTAGCTACCGCCAGAGTTATTGAAGGAGAAGAAGAGTCTTGGTCCAATGTTTCAAGAATCTGCTGCTTTTCAAGCATTCCAACCGCTAGGTGCCTCTAGCACAAATGAGAAGAAGAACGCCCGACAAGCTTCTATAACGGATGAGGATGGTGATACCTCTATGGCAGATGCTGAAACTGATGCTGAGGACGGGCCTCTTCCTCAGTTCACGCCTCTCAACCTCCCTCTAAAACGGAAACTGGCTCAAGGCACCGCGGAGGATACAGATAGGGCAGGAGGTGAAGCATTTGGATTTGTGATCGATCCCAATCCTACCCCGGTGCCCGAACCCAAGGTCAAGAAAGCTAAGAAGTCAAAAAAAGCGAAGGATGAAGACGCCGCTCTGGAGGAGGACTCAAAGAGAGCCTTCGATGATATCGCCGAGCCCGCAACAAAGAAGGTGAAAAGGTTTAAAATATCCAAGGACAAGGAAGCTGCCTTGAACAATGGAACAAAAAGGAGTGTTGATGATGAGGATGAGGCCGTCGAGAAAGTTACGAAGAAACTCAACAAAAGTAAAGTTGATGGGGAACATGTACTTGTAGACCCTCCTGCTCAACATCGAGAGATACCTGGAGGATCTAAGGTAGACTTCATAGCGCTGGAGAAGCAACTGCAGGCTGAAGTTGAAGCTGGAAAGATTAGAGAACAGGAGCGGAAGGCTGAGCAGGCTTCTTCATCCGAAGATGCAGAGACATCCAAAAAGGAAAAAAAGAGGAAGCGCATTAGCACGGGTTCAACATCAGAAGCTGTAGAGAAGAGAAAGATCAAAAAGGGCAAGCAAGAGAAAAAAACATAGAGCCGAAAACACGTCATGATGAGACAGGGTAGATCTTCTGAATCTATTCATAGATAGTGATGATACGTTGATGATACAACTTTTGCTATGTAGACGTAGCTAATCTTACTTGTGCTCAAAAGTACAACTATATCTGGTATGCTTCCACTTCTTTCCTTCTTGATATCTTTCAGTATTGCACCTGCATAGTAAGACATGTTATATCGTGGCTCTGAATTGCCGTTACCCTTATGATGCTACACGAAGCTCGTCCCTCCCAAAGTAGACTCTCAATTGTACATCCTTGGCATGATCCTGAGCAAGGCTAATAGGCCCGGCTTTGTGTCTGAACATATGTCTTACCTGTATTATACATGCCTATCATTTCTTCTCTTGACCTTGCTTCTCCGGTTTTCGCTTCTCAAGAATCTCTTCATCTTTCTCCTTAACTTCCTCCGCCTTATCCTTCCTCCAGCTCCAAACATCCCATATCTGATCCTTGATCAAATCACCATAACCCTTGCCCTCTTCCAAATACCTCTTTTCCCTCTCGTCCCTCTTCTTCTTCCAATCGTCACCCTCTCCACCTAACCATATCTTCTCTATTACGCTTTTTTCCTTCCTTCCTAGCTCCTCTAATATCCTACTTTGTGGCTCCTCCGTGTTCCTTGGGCCCCTCAAGCTCTCATCATACCTCCGTTCCTTCTCCCTCCGCAATTGTTCTTGCATTATTCGTGCCTTTTCTGGTAGAGGATTGCTGGCGCGCGCCAGGCGATCCTGGCATCGCTTCAAAATGCTGCGGCCGGTATATTCACGGCAGAGTTGGTTTCCGCCCGCAAAGGTCCCGCCTAGGAGGGCGATGGTGTAGAAGTCGAGTTTTCGGGGTGGGATGGCTATTATTATCGGACATACTATTACAGCGCCAATGGCAAGGTTGTGGATGATTTTGGCTGTGTCGTTTGGGGAGATGGCCGATGCGGGAGGAGTTGTCGTAGACATAGTGATAATTAATGGCTTTATTTCTTCAGGAATCAACCTCAGTTAGGAGCTGGCAATCGGCTACCGTATAAGCATTTTCCTCAGCTTAAAATTGTAGGTTTACTCGCATCATAAGAATTCCGTAAGGTTGACTTTCTGCCAGAGCGGTGTAAAGTTTCTTGACAACCTCTAATTACCCTAAATTAAATATTATTTGTTAATTTGGATAAGATCCCTGGTCAACAAACCTATGTCGAGTTGCCAGAGTGGTTAATGGGTATGGTAAGCGTAACCAACATATCCCTCTTTATAATTTGTCTTAACAAACAAGTAGACTCGAATCAAGTAGATATCATATGGTTTCGGCCGCGTAGGTTCAAATCCTGCACTCGACGATATAACTTTTTCCTTTGGAAATATCCTTTTGCGTGACGGCTGCAATGTGAGCTCTTTTTTACTCATGAGACATATGGCCCACACAAAAATTAGAGTGCTCTTTCTTTCTGATCTTTTAGCTATGCTCCCCAACTTTTTCTTAGCAACCTACAAAATGCAGAAGCATCCCACTCTCAACGGCTGTTGCATTTGGAAAATAAACTATTTACTTATAGTAATGAATTCATAACTGCAGATACAGGCCATCCACGTGACGAACTCAACTGCTACATGCAAATCTTTCATGAGTGAACAGACGCCTGCCTATCTTAAAATGCCCATCACAGTCAAGTTGAACAAATGAAACTATGCACGAGCTACCAGCACGGATGTCAAAGCTCGGAAAATAAGAGTTTGATATGAACCATCGAGCTTCCCCTAGGCCATCACTCATGGTGACACGTGACACTGCCAATACCAACAGCAATTCCAACGGTTAGCCGGCTAGAGCTATTTGCAAGTAGAGTTCCTCCAATCAGTAAGCAAGCAGAGGTGTAGGAGCTTCTAGTGTGATGCTGCACATGTATGCAGAACTAGCCCTCTTACCGTTCGTCATTGCAAAAATGCGATGAAGACCTTACCACTTTACTAGTTCTGCTCTTGTCCTTTGCAATATGGTATTTATCTGCTCTTCCTCATATTACCAGCAAGCATGAAAGTCTGGCTTTCCCGTATATCTCACCCCAGTAAGCTCAAGGAACCCATTATGGCTTCTTATTGTCTCGATTCTAGGGCACAATACTGTAACCCACCTCATGCCGCAGTTCTTTGATAAAGTCAAACTTACTATTTCTGGCTAGGAGTACCATTGCCGTTATAAGATGGATCATCGATTAGAGGCTAATTTGGTGCTTATGTCCTCTGGGGGCAATACGATATTCATCAGGGACCCGGAGTTTCGACTTATCTTAGTAAAAAAGATATCACAAGAAACCTTTTAATATCACTATTGCTGGTTCTAATACTACTGAAATACACCTACATATGCCATTATAGCATTTGCTTTCTATGCAGAACAGCATAACTGGATTACTGAGGAAATAAATTAAGCGTTACAGCTTCGGTTCGGAAAGGATTATTCGGCCACCTTTCCACCTTTGACTCGTTGCCTTGCACTTATAGTATTTGAAAGCTCCCTTAAAGTCTCTGCCTCCGTAGCTAAACTGTTTTCTTTAGGTATAACCCTTCCGCCCTCATACACCTATCACATACATTGCTTGTAACACTCCACAAGCACGGGATGTGAACGGCATTCATTTCTCGCCCGACACTTTGGTTCAAGTCAGCGTCGCTGTCACTCACTCATCTCCTAAAGTGTAGGGCAAAGATTCCCTGACTTTCTGGCTTCACGCTGGCTATACGAAAGCTGTCTGAAGTGCGAAATGTTAAATGGACCTACTCGGTGTACATTGATGTCCTAGTCTCGCGGACCACGATTCTGTCCGGAAGTAAAAATGGCCAAGTTGAATTTGTTGCTTTCGTAAGCGCTATATTTAGGGAATGGAAAGTGCAGATTGGGGACGCTAAAGACTACGAGAGAAAGGCTATCAGAGAGAATAGCAAATTGCTCACCCAGGTTGACGATGTAAACGGTTCGACCGCAGGACGCTATTCTCCAATAGGCGAGAAGATGATATCTCACGGTATTACATAATTACACTCACTGATTGTCCAATGATGTACATTACATTATTCTCCGACAAATAAGGGCTTTACCGTAAGTTCAGCTTTGCACTTTGAATTAACATTGATAGGTGGGAAAATACAAACTACTACTTTTTAGTCAAATAACCTGAATTTTAATCCCACGATTTTTTTCTTTTTGGGATCATCCTGCTATGAAATATGTTGAAACATCGGATAGGCATCAGCGTTTTGCTTGCCACAAAGACATATGACTCAACCAAGGTATAGTGCCAGACGAGGACGTCTCTCAGGCTCCTGATGTTGCTCACAAGCCCTTGAACTTTACAATATCAACGCAGAGACCTTCTTGGCTTGATAATACATCATTTTATGAAATTCTGGCCGACATGCAAAAAGGGGCAGTTGCACCTGCTGGCGAGCCATCACCATTTGGTTGCAAACTGGGGGGTGCTGATATGTAGAGGACGTGTACAAGTTGAGACAAGAACAATATTCTCAAGTAGTATTCTAGGACAATGGATAGATCTACACGATTTTACATTTTTATTGCCATTCATTTTACTACGGGCTGATGTTTGAGCTTTTCTATCAGCCACCATTTGCGGGAGAGCTGATCGCGTCTTAATATTGCATTATTCCGCGGTACATTATATTACTTCACTTTTCCAGTTAGAAAACCCCCATGAGGTTCCTAGAGGCGATTCGATTGACATGGCTATTGGAAGTTCTTGATATTCAATTCATCTCGATATTTTGAGCTTCTGGGTCACCGCCCTGTAATTATGACGTTTCCGCCAGTACGATGTATAGTAGTAGCGCACCATGTTACCTTTTTCAGCAAATTGGATAGTGATATTGAAGCACTTGATGCTTTGCATCATTTCCAATAGACGAATATCTGGCATTGTAAGTCGAAGGTTTTCAAATATTGCCGAGGTGGAAGCTGCGAAGCTGAATAACTTCGGTGGAGAAGAGCAAAACTAAACAACATTCGACTTGAAGAGAATTGTCTCAGTTCATGCCGGGCGACGGATTCTGACGGTAGTAGATTAGAAGTCATTCAGGAACTCTGAATTTGGAGATATTCTCTAGTGGGAATTTATGTAATGATAGAACTGCGTAGCATCGCCTTTGGTTGCTGCTTAAGGTGAAAGATTTTACCAGGATCGTCCTACTCCTCCGGCTCAAGAAACTCCTTGACTGCTGCTGGGCCTATTTGTTTCTTGATACCTTCCTTGAGATCTTCTATGCATTCTTTCATCATGAATAAACCTCCTAGCTCCAGTTCTGCGACGTAACGAATGGTGCGGTTTGTAGTCTGCAAGATAGGAAATGCTAGATCCTCTATACTTGGAGACATCTCGAAGATTTTGGATTGACGAGAGACGATTCTGCGTGGTAGTCACTGAGCGAGGCAATCAAGTTTTACTGAGTAGGATGCTCTATGACAAGGTACTTCTCTAAGAGTTGGCTAGCGCAAAGGTCAAGTCGTCATTTAAGAAAACAAGGTCGATAGTGTAAGTCATTGAATGAGACAAGTTGAGCTTATTGTTTTCAACTTTATTTCCGCTTGGTAGATTGATGCTAGAGGTATTGCCTCAAATTGATGGCTGCCTACGAAGGAGTCACTTCTCTATTTCATGTCACACAATGAAAGCAATTATTCAAAATGATTAGAGCTCATACTTACCAAATGCTTAAGCTTGAAGGGGAGTTTTTATATATATATATTTTAAAAAAAAGAACGAAAGAAAAGGGATATTAACACACAAGAGAGGACAGTTATACCTGGTAAAATATATCACGTGATATAGAGTTCATATTCAAAAGGCAAATTCACGAGGCTGCTGCCATGCGAAATTTGAATGACAAGTAACTTAACCGTCATACAAGCTTTAGTGATTAATTATCAATCAGCATTTTGCCTATCGAAATGGCTATAAGCTGACCAGGCTAACAAAAATTTAAGGCATCAATCATTGGCCCCACTATGATTAGGTACCAAGGCTTCATAGGCATTGTAATTCTCAAGCTCTGGCGAATATCAATCAACCTAAAAATATTGAATGTCGGTGCTATTTTGTGGGGAATATTGACCTATAGTTCAGGATTCTGACTTCTTATCATGCACAACATGGCTCAAACAAGCCAGCCAAAAAGTTTTCTTGACCTGGTCAACATTGTTGATAAGTACGTATTGGAGACAGTTTGTTCGGACGAACTAAGTGTAAATAGTATTGCTAATGTTAACAGCGTCCCTTATGATTTCGATTTCAGTGCTTTGTATAAGCTTTTGCTGCCTGAAGATTCTCGACCCCACGGTCTCATACTTCCCAACATTGTCTCGCAAATTCCCTGGTCCTCCCGATTCGCCATAGATCACGATGTCCTCACCGTAAAGGTCATCGACGATACCAATGGCAAAGATATTGCAAAATCTTGCAATATCGCGTTCCAGGAAACGGTCGATGCTATTGTCGACAAGCAGCTTTTCCGCTCGGTGGCCAAGCATTCCGAGATGTTCAAGGTAATGGGTGCGAATCAAAATGTGGTCTATGAGCGCTTCACTTCGTCTTTATTTGGACTTGCTAGCCGTGGAGCGCATATGACGGCATTTGTGAGGACTCCAGAAGGCATCAAAATTTGGGTTCCACGTCGAAGCAAGCATCTCAAGACGTACCCGGATATGCTCGATACCACAGTTGCTGGAGGTGTGAAAGCTGATGATACGCCTTTCGCAGTGAGTAGAAGCTTTTGAATGCATGTAAAGCTTCTCTTGAAAATGAGTTGCTGATATTTCGTTTCACAGTGCATCGTTGCCGAGTCTGACGAAGAAGCTTCCCTTCCACGCGATTATGTCAGAGAAAATGCTTGCTCTATCGGCGTCCTTACGCATGTCGCAGAGAGCAACTACACCAAGAGCGTCTATTCCCAGGTTCTCTACCTCTACGAACTCGAGCTTCCCGAGACTATCATACCAAAGCCAGGAGATGATGAGGTAGAGATATTCCATCTTTGGACAGTAGATGAGGTCAAACAGGCAATGATGCGGCAAGAGTTTAAACCAAATAGCTCGCTTGTCATGATAGATTTCTTTATTCGGCATGGTATCATCACACCAGACAACGATGATGCATATGCTGAGATCACGATGCGGCTGAGGAGACACCTTCCTGTGGCTATCACGCCCGAGAAGAGATCACCATGATGCAATGTAGAGAGAAGGGCATATTATTAGGGCACAATCACACCTTCGACGGCAAATGTTGCCTCATCCACTGCCGTTTCAGACTCAAAATTTCATGAGACTGAT